TGTCCAGAATGGCAAAAGTCGGCACTTCTCAGCACAGCCCGGCTTTTGCACCCTCTTATAGTTTGTGCCAGCATTTGATTGGCAGTAGTGCCAAGGCAGTAAAGTAAAAGTAAAGTAAAGGCCCTCCCGTTGATCATCGATTTGCTCGAGCGGGCCCAGTAACGTCTCCATTGGAGACTTTGTTGTTACTGTGTCTGGCATATCGAATACTCTCGGTAGCTTGCGGGGCTCTCCGAGAGGGGTGGAGGAATCGAACTCAGGTCGGCCATGTTGGCTGCGTGCAAGGCAGACGCCCTACCCGCTGTGCTATCGCTCCAGCCCGCCAAGGCCGTAGACAATGATTTTCAGCCTTTCTACCTGTCTGTGGGCTGGTAGCCATCGTGGCTTATATAACAACGAAAAACCTATCAGGTATATATGTAGCCTGGATCACATCTATATAATGGAGAGTTTGAGTTAAATTGGTGGCATGTTACTTTATCATTTTGTGGAATGGTTTTTTGAATGAAGGGTTGTGTCGTCTGCTGATCTCACTGGCTCTTGGGAGGTACACACAGGTCTTGTGTTGGAGACATGGAGTGATAGGTCAGGGCCCTTCGATGTACTCTTGTATGCATCTTCTCATCTGTTCTGAGGAAGGGCAGTCTGGTTGCCGGCTCTCCATTTTGTGTGTTTCATGAAATTCTGCCGGGACATTGCTTCCGTATTTTGCTTAGCTCTGTGTCTAGGAGAACAGGATTTCAGGTGTTGGAGTTCATATGAAAAAAGGAGTTCTTAGATGTTGACTCAAAATCTCTTGCACACAGTGAAGAAAATCACAGCCTCAGGGATGAGTGTCAGACTTAAAAATGCAGAAATCCTGGCCCAGTCCCTGTGAGACCCGTTGGGTCCTGAGTCAAGAAGGCTGGCACCCAAGAGATGGGCCTTCTGGGAGCAGCAACAGAACGTGGTGGAGCTTTGTGCCAGGCATGGTATTTCCTGTTACCAGTATCCTCTCGTAATCCTGACAGCTTTCTCAGGCGGCTGCAGTTTCATTAAGAAAAGTGTTAGAACCAGGGAGTTGACTCAGTGGCAGAATACATACCGCATATGGAGGATCTGGGTTCAGTTCCCTGCACCGCAAAAATAAAATGAAATAAAAAGTTGAAATGGAAGCTTAGCTCTCCCAAGGGGTTCCTGCTCTCTGCTACAGATTCATATCATCTAATATGTTTCAGCCTATTAGCAGTTTCTTTCACCTTTGCTCCCCAGAGAATCTGACTCCCCATAGGACTTAGATGTCTCACTGCAGGTGGTTTCAGTGGGGTATGGTAATCTCCAGGAAAGTAAAGTTCAATGGACAGTCATCTCTCGCTTCACTTTCTTGACTAGTTATTTTGTGCTGACACTGACAGTATCTTTTTTTTTTTCTTTTTGAGTCACACCTGGCAATGCTCAAGGGTTACTCCTGGTTTTGCACTCAGGAGTCACTCCTGGCAGTGCCCAGGGGACCATATGGGATGCTGGGAATTGAATCTAGGTTGGCCGCTGTGCTATCGCTCCAGCCCCCAGTATCAGTTTTTAAGTACCTTTTAAAAAAAAAAAATTATTAGTGAATCACCGTGAGGTACAGTTACAGGCTTACAAACTTTTGTGCTTGCATTTTAGTCATACAATGATCAGTACCCATCCCTCCACCAGTGCCCATTCTCCACCACCAATGGTCCCAGCATCCCTCCCACCACCCCACCCCACCTCTGTGGCAGGGCATTCCCTTTTGCTCCCTCTCTCTCCTTTTGGGTGTTGTGGTTTGCGGTAGGGGTATTAAGTGGCCATCATGTTCAGTCTATGGTCTACTGTCAGCCTGCATCTCCCATCCTGAGTGGGCCCTCCTAGCACCTTTTACTTGGTGGTCCCTTCTCTGTCTGAGCTGCCTTTTCCCCTAGCATGCGAGGCCAGCTTCTAAGCTGTGAAACACTCCTCCTGGTTTAAGTACCTATTTTTGTTCCAGGTGCCTTGCCTTTGCCTTTTACAGAGTGTGCTGAGTAAACGTGGTTTGAGCAATCGGGAGAGATGGAGCTGGGGCATTGAGGAGGAAGGTGGGGGCGCCCTGTGGGCCGTGGGGGAGGGCTATCGAGGCCTCTGCCAAAGTTGTACACGCTGGAGAGGCATGAGATTGAACCCCTGACGCACAGTCCTGTAAAATAGTTTTAGCTCCGTAGGAAAAAAAGAAGAGCTTGGCTGAGTATATTTTGATCTATGTGGTGAGCAGACCCAGGCTTCAGTGCAGGGAGGAACAGTGAGTGGCGCATGCTTCCAAACTATCCTGCAGATCACGCCTGTATCAGTATGGGACTTGTTCATGTGTGTTCAGTGGGAAGGTACTGCAAACAGGAAGTGCAGCAACCCAGTTATGTTCTTAAAATACAAATTTATGCACAGGAAAAAGCATGAGGCGCAATGGGGCTGAAGCGACGCGGCTCCCAAGCACAGCCCTATTGATTTATGCTTTGAGCCGCGCTCTGGAGAGAATTGAAACCCATTATGCCAAGTGCAGGGCGCACAAATCCCTTTGAAGCGCAGTTAGATGCCATCTAATCCCAGCTCATTTAAAAACAATTTTCAAGTGGCCAGAATGCAAAAATGCCCCAAGCAATTTGCCCGTTATTAGAAGACTTTAAATGGATGGAACCTAGTATTTTTATGGTGTCTTTCTCTCTTATGTTTAATTGTGTGCCTTAGTGTGTTAAATTGAATTTTAAATGTGCACTAATCTGGCTGTTAGAATATATCCCCTTGAATATTCTCAAATAGGGACCAGAGTGATGGTACAATGGGTAAAGTGCTTGCCTGGTGCATAGCTGACCTGGGTTCGATTCCCAGCACCCCATATGCTACCCCTGTCCACTGCCAGGAGTGATTCCTGAGTGCAGAGCCAGAAGTAACCCCTGAGCACTGCTGGATGTAGCCCAAAAAAGGGGAAAAAAATTCTGAAATTTGGGACATGGATGAAACCATATTGGGTAACTCTCTTGGAAAACAAATTTGGGGATGTGATTTTTGCTTCGAAATGTTAAAAAAACTAGTATAAAAAACGTCCACCACCAAATAGTACAACAGGTAGGGCACTTGCCTTGCAAGTGACTGACCTGGGTTTGGTACTTGACACCCCATATTGGTCCCCCAAGCCCACCAGAAGTAAGTCCTGAGCCCTTCTAGGTGTGGTCCAAAAAGCACAAAAAGAAAAAAGGGAATACCCATTACCCAGATTTCTCAAATATTAACATTGGGTCCTACCCATTGTACTACCTCTTTGGCCCCTAAAAAAAAGTGTGTGTGTATACATGTACCTCTTACATATTCCCTGTGAAAAAAAGGGAGGTGTGAGTTTGCTTTTATGAGGCAAAGTGTCTTCAAGCCTAAAGAAAGTGTGGAAGTCTTTTTGAATTTGTGGCATCCTGTGGTGGTTTTTGTTTTGTAATAAAAGTGAATTTTAGTTTGAAATACAGAATGTACCTTGATCTCAAAGTTAAGAATGACTGAATTAGAAGGATGAGTTGTGATATGGATGAAAGGATAAGAGAGAAAAGAGATCATTAAAGGAGAAAAAAACACAAACAAGAAACAGCACTAGAATTTAAAGCAGAGATCAAGTCTCCAAAAAAGTAAGAATTAGGTCACCTACATGGCTACAGTTGACTTCAAGAAAGATGACTTTCAGGATGGGGCTCTTGAAAGCTGTTACCCAGAGGAACAAGGGATTTAGATATCCCCAAAGAAGGAAATGGAATTTTATGGTAGCGTAGAACGAAGATGAAAGAAAATATTTCTTGCTTTAGCGTTTTTGTTGTTGTTTTATTTTTGTTTTAAGGGCAACACCTTGCAGTGCTCAGAGCTTCCACGTGACTGCACTTGGAACACTCCTGATGGGGCTTGGGGAGACTACATGGGGTTCTGGGAGCCTTTCAACCCTGGTCAACCACATGCAAAGCAATTGCCCTATCCACTGTACTATCTCTCCAGTCCTGAAAGGAAAAAAAAAAACTTTTTGCATGAATAGACGAGCACATATATACATTTTTACATGTAGCAGTAAAAGTCACATATCTATATCTCTTTGACTCCCCCCCCTTTTTTTTCTGTGGGGTAGGTTTGATAAACTCAAGTATGCAATGCTGTATACTATGGCAGAAAGGTATACTTCGTGTGTGTGTGTGTGTGTGTGTGTGTGTGTGTGTGCTGTGAGGGGGGTTATATAAGGAGACCGAGTGTGTACAAGGAAAGCCCACAGCTTTTTAGTAGGGCTCTTAAAAAACGTGTGTGTGTGTGTGTGTGTATGTGCTTCAGCAGAGATTTTTAACTTTATTCTTTTAAAATAAATAACAGGGCCAGAGTAGTCGTAGTATAGCTTATAGCCTTGCACATGGCCAACCAAGTTTGATCCCTGAATTATAAGTATAGTAAGAGTACAAAATTTTATTGCTTTATAAAATACTTCATCATTTCAGTGTTTATAAGCAGGAAAACCAAATTAATGCACTTTTGGGGGGAAAATTTTTAACTTCCATTTGTCTCTGAAGTAAAAAAGTATTTTGCTTACTGAATGTTTCTGTGTCTTTAATATCAAATGCTAGCTTCTGTGATTTTTTTTGTTGTTGTTGTTTATATCTTAGGAAGATTCACTGTTCTGTTCCCTGACATAAGAGATTAGCACAATGTGTTTCCATCAGAATAGTTTCATAGGGGTTGGAGCTGTAGTACCAAGAGCAACCTCAGGGCATCTCTGGATATGACCCCAAAACCTAAACAAACAAACAAACAAAAAAACGGTTTTACATAAGGAACGCAGCGGGTCATTTTTCTGCTGTGTCTGGTCTCTCTCCATTGCCTTTGATTGGCTGTGGCGCGTGGTGGGTCCGGCTGCAGGCCTGTTGGGTTGCTCTGCTCTGGAGGAAAGAACTGCTGAGATGAAGTGCTGTGTTGGGTCCCACTGAACCTGGTTCCTTGCCTTTTGTTGACAGTAGACCTTCATGGAGGAGCACGGCGTGACCCAAACCGAGCACATGGCTACCATAGAAGCCCATGCCGTGGCCCAGCAAGTGCAGCAGGTCCATGTGGCCACCTACACTGAGCACAGCATGCTGAGCGCTGACGAAGACTCGCCGTCTTCTCCCGAGGACACCTCCTACGATGACTCCGACATCCTCAACTCCACCGCGGCTGATGAGGTAACAGCCCATTTGGCTGCTGCAGGTAATGTCGTTGGGGATTCGGAGCTCTTCATTTTTCCTTTAACTCGTGGTACCGTGTGTATCTGGAAAGATCTAGGATGCAGGCACGCTCACATTGCACATCTATCTGCACATCACTTCTGTTCTCTTTCAGCCTTGCCTTTGTAACATGTTCTGGCATTATACTGAGACTTGGGTTCTAGCATCATATTTACTGGTGATTTTTATAACATGATCCATTTGATTTTTTATCCATCATCCATTCCAACAGTACTTTTTTAATGACCCATTTTTCCCCCTTTTAATTGCCAACAACCACCCCCACCCCTATCTCATTCCCCCCACTTCCTGATGTCCTGCTCTTGTTGATACTGTTGCTGAGGGTGGGGCAGGAGGGGTGTTTGCTCTCTCCTGGGGTTGACATTTTTAGCGAAGGGTTTCGAGGGTGGGTTGGTGTCATATACAAGATCATGGGACTCACGAAAATGGGCACATCTTGTGAGGTACACAGGCTATGCTTGTGATGCAGTACTTATACCAGGAGTCACTTTCCCTGCAAGTGGGTCACTGGATTTGAACTCAGTAGCCAGATTCTTGCTGGGCAGGCGCTGTTCCCATGGCACTGTTCCTCCTGCTTTTCTTTTCCTCGGTCTCATTCACTCTTTTTTTTTGGAGGGGGGATCACACCTGGCTATGCACAGGGGTTACTCCTGGCTCTGCACTCAGGAATTACTCCTGGCGGTGCTCAGTGGACCATATGGGGTGCCGGGAATTGAATCCAGGTCGGCCACATGCAAGGCAAATGCTCCCCTCTGTACTATCACTCCAGCTCCTCTCATTCACTCTTAAAGGTATTACAAACATTTAGAAAGTCTTGCAGCAAAGGCTCAGAAAAATTCCTTGTGCATATTTCAGAAATCCACGGCACATACTAACTTCAAGTCGCTTCCAACTAAATCCTTTAACTTAAGCATTTAGTTCATTGACATTAAGTTGTAATACTGATATAATTAAGTTTAAGTTCATCATCTTTGCTCTCTATGTTCTCTTTGTCCCATCTATTATGTGCTGTTTTCTCTTGTGTTTTGGCATAAATTTTAAATTCTCTTTGTAAGTTATGTACGTTATATACATTTTAGTTTTAGTGATACTCCTAAAAAGGATAACACATCCTTCACATGTCTTAAAGTTATGTAATTGGTACTTTTACTTTCCAGTTATAATACATATTTAGAAAACTTGAATTTCTTCTGCTCCTGGCTTATCAGCGTTCTGTGTATGTGTGTGTGTGTTTAGTATTTTAAGTACTACAAGGCATCATTTTATACATAATATTTTCCCCCTTATAGCCAACTTCAATGAGAATTTTTAGTTTGCTCAGAGTTCCATTTTTAATTTTCTTTAATATGGATCTGCCAGTAGCAAGTCTGTCAGCTTTTTCTTGTCACTGTGTTTTGGGGGCCAGTAGTTATATATGTCTTTCAACTCTGAAGAATTTTTACTATGGGTATGGAATTCTAGTTGCCAGCTATGTATTGGAGATGCCATTTCACTATTTTCTGGTTTCTGCTTCTCCGTTCCCCTACACCCTGGCACCCTGTTTTCTGGTTTCTGTCCCTGCTTCTGAATGTTGTTCTTACAGCTACTCCTCTGAAAGTTATCTGCCGTACAGACACCTCCCTGGGGGATGCTTTTTTTTTTTTCTTCCTTCTTGTTTTGGAACCATACCAAGCAGTGCTCGGGGCTCATTCTTGGCTCTGCACTCAGGGATCACTTCTGGAGGGGTTCAGAGGACTGTATGTGGTCCCAGAATCAAGCCTGGATTGGCTGCATAGAAGGCAAGCACCCTCCCCGCTGTACCATCTCTCAGACCCCTTACAAACTTTTAAGTTTGCCCTTAGCTGTTGTGATAGATCTGGTTCTGAATTGCTTCTCATTTTTCATGCTTGGGATTCTTGGAGCATTTCGAATCTGGATTGCTACTGTTCATCAAATCTGGAAAACCTTAGCCACTTGATTTTGTTTGTTTTGCTTCTGGTCAGTTTCATCATCTTTCTTTTATAACTCCCATTCAAATTCTTGGTGGTGCTCACCGAGTGACTTTTTTATGTTTCTGATGTTTCTTACCCTTTCTATTTTCCCTTTTTTGTTTTATATGTAATTCTATATAGTGTCTTCTGCTTTCTAGTTTATTAAATTTTCTTTTAGCTGTGCTAAGGTGGTTTTCCGTTTATCCATTGTGTTACTAATTCTGGCATAGTTAATAGCTTTCGGGTTTTGTTTTTGTTTTGCAATTTTTATATATTTTATTTTCACAAAGAAGTTCACAATAGTTCACTGTAGATAATATTCAAGCACCAATCCCACCACCAAGCCCCTTCCCACCACAATTAGAGGAAGTGTGTGAAGGTTGCTGTATTTCATTGTGGAGCATTTCAGGCCCTTATATAAGAGAATATAATCTCAGGGCTAGGATGAAGGAGACGTTACTGGGGCCTGCTCGAGGCAATCGACGAATAAGTCTGATTTGTGATTGATTGTGATATAAGAGAATACAAGCAAGTATGTTAAAAACAAACAAATATGTGTTATTTTTGGTAAGTAAGTGGGCCAGAGTATAAGAGGTGGCGTGGCCGCAAATGCAACCATGTGCTCCAGGACAGTCTCTGTCTCTCTCTTCCGGGAGCTTTAGTTTAAAGTCTCTGGGTCTTGGCCGTTGATGAGATTACATGGCTCAGGAAGCAGTTTGTGGGCATGACTGCCAAGCTGTTGGAAAACTGAGGAGCTGGAGGGGAGGAGGCCCAGTCTGGGTTTTGTTTTCTATTTTTGAGGGTTTTTTTATGTTTTTCCTCCCAGTTTTGTGCTTTTGCTCCAGCCCCATTCCTCCCAGTTTTGTGCTATTACAGTTTATGTTTGTAGTGGGAGTTGTGTATTTATTTTGTTTGGGGCCCACACCTGTCAGTGCTCAGGGTTTTCTCCTGGCTCTGCACTCGCTTACCACTCTTGGCAGTTCCAGGGACTATATAGGATGCTGGAGAATGAACCCAGGTCAGTGTGTGTAACTCAGGCACCATATCTGCTTTCCTACATCTCCAGCTCTCTCCCTCCCTTCTTATAAACTTTCTGGCCACACCTGGCCCTGTTCAAGGGTTATTCCTGGCTCTGCACTCAGGAGGGCTTTGGGGACTATATGGGGTGCCAGGGATTGAATCCAGGTCAGCATGTGTAAGGCAGACACCCTGCCTTTTGTACTATTGCTCTGGCCCTCTAGCTTTCCCCTTTAAAATTTTTTTTCTTGAGTGTAGTGTTAGACTCTTATGATCTAGTGATTTTGCTTTCTGACGTGTTTGTGGTTCTGTTTTTATTATATGTCGTTAGTGCTGTTGCTTGTTTATGTTGAATTTTCTCTTTGTAAATTGTTGATATCTGAATTATCATTGGATGATGTGCTGGAGAGAATTATTTTTAGAAATAATGTGAAGTCTCGTACGATAGTTTCATTATAAAGATCCTTTAGATAGGACTTTTGTTTGCTTCTTTCTGCCAGATGGCCTGAGGGCACCAGCAATCCTGGATCAACTTAATCCAGTCTAAGATTTTAAGATTTTTTTCCTGGGTCACTAAATGACTTAAAACTGAACCATATTTTGTCTCATTCTTTTAAATACGCATCTACATGGCATATTTTAGAACTATATGAGAAGACTTCATGCATGAGGTCTAGAATTATCTAAGTGAAATTGATCATGAAAGGTACTAGACAAGAAATTAAGGTCAGGACTAGCCAGAATACTCAATCTTTTTAGTATTAGCCAAAAGGATCGAGTATAGAATGGGAGGAAGATGAATACAACGGTAATATAACTTTCTTACTATTATTACCCACTGTCGACTTCTGGGTGAGGTGTCGTGACAGAGTACGTATAGCATGTTTGTCAAATACACTTCTGAAATTGTCATGCTTCCCAGAAGATGGCATCCTAACATAATGAATACAAGAAAGAGGAGAGACATCCTAATTACTATACTGCACTGCCCTATTGTTAAGATTCAGAATAAGCTTTGAGGAGCTGGAGTGATAGCATAGCGGGTAGGGCGTTTGCCTTGCACACGGCCGACCCGGGTTCGATCCTCAGCATCCCATATGGTCCCCTGAGCACCGCCAGGAGTGATTCCTGAGTGCATGAGCCAGGAGTGACCCCTGTGCATCGCCGGGTGTGACCCAAAAAGCAAACAAAACAAAACAAAACAGAATAAGCTTTGATCTAACCCTTTTGTATATCAGAAGTGGAGACTGAGGCCCAGCTGATAAAAATGATTAACTATTTGATCAACAGTTACAGAGGAATTACGATAGGCTGTATATTACTATATAGAGATACTACATATATATAGATGCAGCAAGAAAGGCAAAAGCTTGCTTCTGAAGAAGCTTAGAGGCCAGTGATAAGGAACAGGGTAACAGAGAGTGAGTAAAATAATTTCCAAAAGTCTTAAGTGCTCCTCACGAAGATAATGAAGATGACAGAAGGAAGGGGAGAAGACTTGCCTTTTTCCCAACCCTCTTTGCGTCCCTCCCTCCACCGAGACAGTGTTTTGTTGGTGTTTTTGAGCCACACCTGCTGGTACTCCGGGGCTTCTCCTGGTTAGATTTTCAGAATTGTTTGGATTAAACCTGGGATATATGCAAAGCACACTTTTCAGTCCTTTGCGCCATTGCCCCAGCTTCAATGATCAGCTTTAAATTTGTCTTTCCTCCTTTTATTAAGAGATCCTCTCATTCATTTTAACTGTTAATTGGTGTTCCATTCATCTGAATATCTTGTATAATGGTAGAACAATTAGTTTGCTTATGCTTTTTTGCTGTTATAATTGCTGAAAACAAAATTGATTTCCAGCTTGGCAATATCTCACAGTGATAATTCTACTGTGTAAATAATGCACAAATAGCTGAAATAAAAGTGTCTCATAAAGTAATACTCCTGCAAGTGACACAGCTGTCTTACCATGTTCTGCCATCTTCCACATTTCATTTTCATAAAAGAAATTCAGGGCCAGAGAGATGGTGCAGCCAGTAACGTGCTTGCTTTGCATATGGCTAACCCGTCATTCAGTCCCTGGCAATGCATATGGTCCTCCAAGCTCCGCAAGGAGTGATCCCTGAACACAGAGCCAGGAGAAAACCCTGAGCACAGCCAAGCGTAGCCCCAAAACCAGAATAAATGAATATAGCAATAAAGAATACTACTCATTGAAAAAAATAGTACTTACAGGTCACTCAGGAGGGAAATAGAGGGCTCAAAGGCATGTTTTCCACCTTGGTAAACAATCTAAATGTTTTTCAGGTTGTTGTATTGATTTGCATCCAGAGAGCTCTGTACCAGAGTGACTGTTACTTTTCAGCCCACCACAGTCAGTCTTGCCGTTTTTCATTTTTACCAGTCTCATGGGTATGACAGAGCTTTCTGTTGATATAATTTGCTTGCCTGAGCAAGGAGTTTCAGTCAGTCTACGGGTAAGATTGAGCCCTATTTCAGATCACTGACGTTCTCTCCATTTTGCTGTGCATTTGTTTGTTGTGGGCCCATACCCGGGAGTGCTCAGGGCTTACTCCTGAGTTACTGCTTACTTCAGGGATCCTGTCTGTTCCCCCGACAGGATGCCAGGAATCAAACCCGGATCAGCAGGCATGCAAGGCAGATGCCCTAGCCACCATCTTGTCTCTTCAGCCCCTTTGCTGTGTATTTGAAAACTCTTTGTTTTGTTTGGTCTTCTGGGTTGCACCCAGCAATACTCAGAGGCTACTCCCAGCTGGTGCTTGAAAGACCATGTTGGATGAGCCCAGGTCTCTATGCAAAGCATGGACTTCCAACATGTTAAACTGTTTCCCTGGCCTCTATTTTAATAATAAAATATTCCACTTTCACAACCAGTATTTAAAAAAAAAAACTTGATTTAAAAACGGCAAAGGTAAGCCCAATTGTACAGCGGGTAGGATATTTGTCTTGCACCCTCCTGACCTGGGTTCAATTTCTGGATTCCCATATATTTCCCAGGCCTCCAGGAGAAATTCCTGGGTGCAGAGCTAGGGGTAACCCTTGAGCATTGCCAGGTGTGGCACCAAAACAACAACAACAACAACAACACAAAAAACACACAAACAGAAAAGTGAAAGGTGAGATAGAGCAATAGTGCAGGCCGTTGCCTGGTTCAATCCCTGCATCCCATATGGTCCCCTGAGCACCGCCGGGTGTGACCCCAAAACAAAAAAATAAAGATAAAAATGGCAAAAGCATACTGGAAAGATAGTAGAGTGGGTAGAGCACTTGCCTTGCATATGGCTGAGCTGAGTTCGATGCCCAGAATCTCATAAGGTTCCCCAAGCACTGCCAGGAGTGATCCTTGAGCCCAGAGCCAGGTGTACCCCAGAGCATCTCCAAGTGTGGTCCAAAAACAGAAGTACAGAAATAAATATGATGAAGAGGCCAGAGCAATAGTATAGTGAGTAGGGTGCTTTCCTTGCACATAGCTGACCTTGGCTTAATTCTTAGCACCGCATATAGTTCCCCAAGTCCCACCAGGAGTGATTCCTCAGCACAGAGCCAGGAGTAAGCCCTGAGCACAGCTGGGTATGGCCCAAGAAACAAAATTAAAATAATGAATAAAATCTAAACGTTGAAAGCCTTGAATAGTTATTATTCTAAAGAGAACATACAGATGGCTAGGAGAGTTACAAAAGATACTAAATGTCACCAGTCATGAGCAAAACCCAGACCACAATGAGGTACCACCTCACACCTGTTAGTTAGGACGGCTATTATAAGAACAAAAAGTCTTTTAATTTTTTTTTTTTTTTGAGAAACTTACGCTGTTTTCCGTAGAGGTTGTGCCATTTTACATTCCCACCAGTCACATTCAAGGACTCTTCCTTTCTCCACATCTTTACCACTGGTTTCTTCAGTTAGTCAGTATTTTGGGGGACACGTTCCTTGTGATCTTTGGCCCGCTAGGCTGATGATTCAGTGTGAGGACCTGAGGATATGTGCAAGGCAGACACCCATCGCCCTGTACTATCATTCCTGTCCCTCTCTCTGACTTCCTTTACGTGGCAGTGTTTTGGGGGTCATGGAATGAGGGGCAGAGGGGCTGGTTGAAATATAAGTTGGAATTTCTATTTTTCAAGCTCTATCTTTCAGTTCTGCCATTTCGTACGACTCCTCTGAAAATGTCGCCTTAGCAGCAGGGGCCTGCTGGCAAAACCAAACTACACAAAAACAGCATTAGGCAGATACTAAGCTGGAGTGTGGTGGGAGGTACAATCACTTAAAAAAAAAATTATTGTTCGTCTATTCCTAAATAAAATTATGATCTCATATGAGTGTGGGTTCATACAGTGGTAGTGAAGTATATAAGTGTGGGTTCATATAGTGATAGGGGAGTATATATGGATATGTGGGTTCATGCAGTAATAATGAAGTATGTTGATAATCACCCCCCACACCCCGAGTTGATTGGCAGCTGGCCCTGGGGATGCTACGGGATTCCTCCCGTGGTTTTCTATCTTGTGTAGCGTGGGCTTGGCCACATCTCAGCACACCCGTTACTGTTTCAGGTCCTGTGGGAATGGCTGCTGCTGCTGCGGTGGCCACGGGAAAGAAGCGGAAACGGCCGCACGTGTTTGAGTCGAACCCGTCGATCCGGAAGAGACAGCAAACACGCTTACTTCGGTGAGGCGCCCTTCCACACGCTCGTGTGCAAGTGGCAGTGTGGAATCCTCGTGGCTGGGGCCACGGGTCGTACTCTCCGGTGACAAAAATAGGCTGGACAGTATTTCATTCTTACGGAATTGATGAAACTGAAAATATCTTTTAACCAATGTAAAATATCTCATCCATATAATCAGAGAGAATGTGTATGTCTGTTATTTGCTCGGTGCTACTTTAATCCCTGAGAATACAACAGTAAAATGAAACAAATTCCCTTAAAGAATTTATATTCTAGGGCCTGGAGAGATAGCACAGCGGGTAGGGCGTTTGCCTTGCACGCGGCCAACCCAGGTTCGATTCCCAGCATCTCATATGGTTCCCTGAGCACTGCCAGGAGTAACTCCTGAGTGCAGAGCCAGGAGTGACCCCTGTGCATCGCTGGGTGTGACCCAAAAAACAAACAAACAAAAAATTCTATTCTAGGGGCTGGAGCACTAGCACAGTGGGTAGGGTGCTTGCCTTGCACACAACCAACCTGGGTTCAGTCCCGGGCATCCCATATGGTTGCCTGATCCCACCAGGAGTCATTCCTGAATGCAGAGCCAGAGGTAACCCCTGAGTACCGCTAAGTCTGGTCCCCAACAAACAACTAAGAAAATGTAAGAGGTGGTCAGGTTCTAAAGTATTTCATAAGTCAGCAGCACAATTCAGTGATAGGTTGGATGTAGGTTTAAATAAAATAATGAGTGAAGGGTCATCTCTAGCGCTTTCAAATAATTTCCCATGACTTCAGAGGGTAAGAACAGTGTTTCTATTTCACCTAGTGATAATCTACTTGGAAAAGCTATATACTCCAGTGCTAAGTGTTATAGTTTATATCAAAATGCAAGCCTGGAAACTACATTTTGGATGTAATAGTAAATAAAAATAATGTCAGAGATATACGTAATCCGTTTTATCAAGGAAAAAAATGGGAAATAAGTAATTTTAGCCCTTTTTTAAAAGCGTGATATAATAAATTCTAGAAGAGCATATCTTAGCAGCAAATAATTTACAAGTGAAAATAGAGAAAGCCTCTTAGGTGTGGTAAGACTGGTGCCAATAAAGCACTGTGTCCTGGCTGTCGCTTGAGTTATCTGTGCGACCCTGCCATGGACTGCTTATGGCTCCCCTGGTCCTGAAGACAAAGACATGTCCTGATTTACTCCTCATTCACATTCCAGGGAAAAGAAAATATCTAGGCAGCATAAATAGTTCAAATTAAAGCAACTTTATGTCTTTGTCACTGTAATTTCTTTTTTTTTTAATGTAGGAGTACTGCTATTTATTCAGCCAGTGATTAGGCTGATTGAATTGTGCATGAACTCCACTATAATTTCTTTCTTTTAAAACGTCTATTTTTCTTCTTATTCTGTGCTTCAGGAAACTACGAGCCACTTTAGACGAATACACGACTCGAGTGGGCCAGCAAGCTATCGTCCTCTGTATTTCGCCCTCCAAACCCAACCCTGTCTTTAAAGTGTTCGGCGCGGCACCTCTGGAGAATGTGGTAAGGGGACAGAGCAGTGCTCTCGCGAACCTGAGGCAGTGGCTCACACACCTTGATCCTCTTCCTAGCACAGTATTCTTGCCACTCTCTCTTTCTCCAGGTGAGAGGGGCTGTTGGGAAACTACCTCAGGCACCTGAAAACAGAGACAGGGTGCCAGAGAGAGCTTGCGGGCTAGGGTACATGCTTCACCTGCTGTCGCGGTCATGTGTTTCTGTTTAGTTTTCTGTGATACCGTGTTTTACTCACCAGCACAGTGGGGAGAATGGTATCGTGTCTGTTTAGAAATCAGCATGGGCTTTTGTTGGGAAATTACTGATGTGTGTCATAAACAAAATGGTGGACGATTCTAATGTGTGCATTTAATGAGGCAAACCCGGGAGCATTGTATTCATTGCTGATACTTGATTTCATATATAAATTTCTCCCAAAACTTGATTTAAATGCTGCTTCAACTTTGGAATATAGTTGAATATTTCGATCGCCTAACTGTCCATAGCTCACTTTAGGAAAACAGTATTTGTCTTGCATAGTTCGGCTATGTGAACTACCTTTCTCTCGCTGAGTAACTTTGGATTATTAATAGAATAATGATCTATCAGACCTCAAAGTGCATTTTGTTTTTATCAGAATAAAATTTATTAGCTTACGGTGCCATGTATTAGATTTGGGAGGGGCAGAGCCTGGGGTGAGGACAGGGTGTGGGGGGCCCTGGTTTCAGGCCTGCGCCCACAGTGCAGGGAGCCGTGGGGGTGGGGGTGGGGGTGGGGAGCCAGCCTTCTCCGCACCAGACCTGTGCTCTGCCACTTTGGCGGCTTTCTGACCCTTTCATTGTTTTGAGTTTTACCAAAAATTCTCGGGGCCTTAGGATGAGAAGGATGTGAGCATGTCAGTCACAGTCCTCCCGTTGTTCATCGATTTGCTCGAGTGGGCCCAGTAACGTCTCCATTGGAGACTTTGTTGTTACTGTGTTTGGCATATCGAATACGTCATGGGGAGCTTGCCAGGCTCTGCTGTGCGGGTGAGATACTCTCGGTAGCTTGCCGGACTCTCCGAGAGGGGCTGTGGAATCGAACTCGGGTCGGCCATGTTGGCCGCTTGTAAGGCAAATGCCCTACCGCTGTGCTATCGCTCCAGCCCTATAGAGTGAGCATATATAGAGTTCTAATTCAGGTTCTGAAGCTCTGGGAAATTGGCTGCACTCTAAGGCACATTTACAGTTGTTGCAGTCACACCTACAGTGGTCTTTGTTGTCATTTTCTCTGAGGGGTGCTCTCTCTGCATCTGGGAGTGCTCCTGAAAAAGTTTTTAGGAATCAGCATTGCTAAGTTTAGCAAAATGCCTAGGTATTATCCCTAGAACTTCACTGACATGTGAAAATGACTGAAATTTTGAGTTGGCAGATGCGGTTCAAGTGGTAGAATATATGTTTTGAATGTGTGAGGCCCTCGCTTTGGTCTCAGGCATGCATACTCACCAGTTTGGCATGCATCACCAGGAGTGTCCCCCCCCCCAACCTTTTTTATAAATTTTTTAATTTTTTGCAGTGGGGGCAATCCCTGGAGGTGCCCAGAGGATGTTCTTGGGTTTGTGCTCAGAAGTGACCCCTGTTGGTGACCATATGTGATACTGGGCTTCAAACTGTATGCAGGGCAAATGCCTTACTTAACTCTTCTCCCCATCACCCCCAACAATAACTTTTTTTTTTATGACCAAAATCAGGATAAGGGAGAGAGAGTGCAGTGAGGGTGGTGTTACCTTGCTCACAGCTGACGCAGGCACCCCATGTGGCCCCCCCGAACCCATCAGGAGTGATCCCTGCACCCAGTGAGGAGTAAGTCCTTAGCACAGCCAGGTGTGGTCCAAAAACAAATGAAGAAACAAAACAAAGACCGAAATGGTTTTAAATTAGCTAATAATGTAATAGTAAAAATCTAATGCTTTACCTTCTTTGAGGTCCAGTATGATGATCTTAAATGTTTTGTTGTTTTGTTTTAGGGCCACTTATTCCTGGCCATGCTAAGTGATCACTCCTGGTGGGGCTTGGGGTACCATATGAGGTTCCAGGGAATCGAGCCCTGGTTAGTTGTGTGCAAGACAAGCATCCTACCTGCTAAACTATCACTCTGGCCCCAGTGAACTTAACTTTTATCATTTACTCTCTGTGGGCCTTCATGCTAGTATATGACTTGATCTGATAACATTCAAAGACCAGAATTTAGACTTTTGAAGTTTCATATTTTCTATAGTTAGAGCGATAGCACAGCGGGTAGGGCGTTCGCCTTACACGCGGCCAACATGGCCGACCCGAGTTCGATTCCTCCGCCCCTCTCGGAGAGCCCGGCAAGCTACCGAGAGTATTCGATATGCCAGACACAGTAACAACAAAGTCTCCAATGGAGACGTTACTGGGCCCGCTCGAGCAAATCGACGATCAACGGGAGGGCCTTTACCTTACCTTACCTATCCTAATTCTACATAGGATCCAGAAATCTACAAAGCAGAAGATACAAGTCCTTAAAGTCCTTAAAGTTGCTATGATGCCAGGTGTTATGTTATTATGATAAGTATAATGATATTTTTTAAAACTTCATTAGAAACTAGAATAAAACTGAAACGTGGAGTGATGATGCTTTAAGTCACTACTTTCATCATCGCCTTCATCAGTTAACTGCAAGAGTTGTACTACATCGTCGACTGGGCCTTATATTTACCTCCCCACATTTTGGGAGCAGAGTGTGAGAATCTTTTCTTTTTTTAATCTCCATGAGGTACTTATTAGGATGAAAATTCCTGTTGCCATAGCGAAATATCCAGGACTCGAACATTATCCAAGCTTCTAGGCCGACCTCTTTCTCTCTTCCCCTTTTTCCCAAGAGAATGGCTTGAGCCCTGAAAGCAAGTTAATTTTCTGTCCCATCTTGTCACATTTCCATAATTCCGTGGCTTCTTTGTTATCCCCAGAGGTGTGTGCAGCCCCTTTGTGTATTCTTCACAGTGAATGATCCCATTCTTGGTGGTGCGGATCCAGTGTCTGTCTACCGTTTCTGCTCATGCAGGAAGAATGTGTGCGTGTACAAATGTGCAGCTGTTAGCACTGTCTTTTGAGGGACCTTGCACTGGTAGTTGAAGACGAGGAACCAGAATAACTGTTGGGTTCAGACCGAGCCTGTCACAGCTGCTGAGGCACCATGGGTTGAAGTTCACCCCTGTCACCGGGGAGGCCAGAAGGGAGGAGGACTTGCCCACAGGGCGCACTCGGGTCCTGAGCTGTGTTGACAGTGACACCTTTGATTCCCCGGCTACAATAGGGCCACCTCTTGTTTTTGTCCCTGCTACTTTTTCAGTCCAGCCTCTCAGGCACTTGAATCTCCTGTCTGTCTGGTCGTCTGGCTTGGCAGGAAAGAAGTGGCCGTTTTGAATAGGTGACTTAAAATGCTGGCGAGAACAGCCCTGGCTGATCTCTGATCCTGATTTTGGCGATGGGAGGCCAGAGCGAGGTGGTTATCAGGGAAAGGCAGAGTGATGACTGTCGTTCCCATGGCATCTGGAACGGGTGATGGGCCAGCGGCGACCTGATAATGCGGGTGTGTGTGTGTGTGTGGGGGTGTTTAGCCAGGAAGCGGGTTTCTGGAATGCCTCTTCCATGGGCTCTTTTTCCTTGCTGTTACCGACTATTTCATCATCTCTTCCATGAGTTCTGTGCGGTGCGGTGTGTCTGGGGCCAGCGGGAATTTGGATCTGCTGGTCGTGGCTGTCCTTGGCAGCAGCAGCAGCAAGAGGCCCGTCCCACCCACTCTCTGGTTGCTGGGTACCCGCCCGCCCTCGTCCTGGGGCATCTTGTTTACTCTCCTTAATTCCCTGCAGGTGCGCAAGTACAAGAGCATGATCCTGGAAGACCTGGAGTCGGCCCTGGCAGAACACGCCCCCGCGCCACAGGAGGTTAACTCCGAGCTGCCACCTCTCACCATCGACGGAATTCCGGTCTCTGTGGACAAAATGACCCAGGTGAGGGGCGGGCTGGCGGGGAGGAGGCAGTGCTGGGTGCGGGTGTGGGCGGGCCTTGGTGATCGCGCAGGGCCAGGCGCAGGCTGCAGCCCTTGGGACCGAGAACAGGCTGGAAGAAGGGCCCACAAGGGCACAGCAGCCTCGCCCCTCTCTGCCGACAGTTCCTTCTTCCATCTGGGCCCTCACGCTGGATAAGGAAACTTTTAGCTCCGAGCCGGTTTGGATGAGCGATGGTTGGGACTTGGAAGCATAATCAGGGAAGCGTGTAGTCCATTTTGGACAGAGCCTGGTCCTTTTTCCTGGAAATTCTGGTGACCACCACGCTGTGGCCACGCTCTGGCCAAGTATACCCATGCTATGGGGAGGGAGCCAGGTCAAGAATGCAGGACCCGGGGCTGGAGTGATAGCACAGCGGGTAGGGCATTTGCCTTGCACGAGGCCAACCCAGATTTGATTCCCAGCATCCCATATGGTCCCCTGAGCACCGCCAGGGGTAATTCCTGAGTGCAGAGCCAGGAGTAACCCCTGTGCATCGCCAGGTGTGACCCCAAAAAACAAACAGAAAAAGAATCCAGGACCCTCTGCTGAGTCACAGCTTCCCTCCTCCTTCCTCTTCCTTCACAGGGAAGTTCCAAAAGCAATTACTCTGATAAATCATACTGAAGGAATTTTCCTAGACTATTCCCCCCACACACACCTTTTATTTCCCGGCTCTTGAAGCAATAACTTGACCAAGATCAAATGCCTTTCAGTATAATTTTTCTGCCCTCTTTATTAATAGACTTCTGTCTTGCTAAATCAAGTTCTAAGGTGTGTTTTGTTTTGTTTTGTTTTTTTCCCTTATCCCCTTATTTTTTTCCCCCCAGCATTTAATAGGGCTGATTGTTCCTTCTTTATTTGGGCGGTGGGTGGGAGGTGGGCCTGGGCCACACTCAACTGTGCTCAGGATTACTTCCTGTTCTGGGCTTGGGGATCACTCCTGGCCGGCTCCGGGGAGCCTATAGGGGTGCCAGGAATCAAACCTGGGTTTGGCAGTGTGCAAGGCAAGTGCCCTCCCTACCCATTGTACTTAACACTCCAGCTAGAATTTGAGAACAAGGACATAGACGTGCTTCTCCCTGACTGCCCTGGCGTCTGCAGATTGCATCTCAGTAATGCTTGGTCAGCGTCTCTTCCCCAGTCAGAGGGTGGGTCACTGCCCCAGAAGCCCTGTGTGTGTCTACGTGTGTGCATGCGTGTGTCTGTGCATTTGTGTGTATGTGGGGGGGGGGGGATGTTGGTCTGCTGTCTTCCTTAGAAAACTGCATTGTAATCATAACCAAGTCTTTCAGTTAGCCTACTCTCAATGCTTCCTATTTTAAAATAATTTCTTGACTTGCTTATCAACTATCAAAATTGTCTCTTGCACAGATCAATATTTAAACATAAATATTGTAAGATCTGCCTGAATTAAATGCCCTGTTCTTTTCTTTTCTTCCTTTTTTTTGCTTTTTGGATCACACCTGGCATTGCACAGGGGTTACCCCTGGCTCTGCACTCAGGAATTACTCCTGGCAGTGCTCAGGGGACCATATGGGATACTGGGAATCAACCCGGGTCAGCCACGTGCATGGCAAACACCCTGCCTGCTGTGCTATCACTCCAGCCCTGCCCTGTTCTTTTTTAAGGAAACAGCTCTGTAGGTTTTTGGCTTGGGGTTTTAGCAAAAGAAAATTTCTCTATTAGAAAACATAATGTTTCACATGAAAAATGTCTGTTGTAAAAGCCTGTTTTGGTCCTAGTAGTCTTTTTATTGTGTAGGTGGTAAAACATACACAGCTTTGTAGAATTTTATTGTATTTATTTTGGCTTGGGGGCCACACTCAGAGGTGCTTAGGGATGACTGCTGGCTCTGTGCTCAGGGATTACTCCTGGTGGACTCAGGGAACCATACGGGATGCTGGAGATCAAACCCCAGTCAGTTGTGCGCAAGGCAAATGCCCTACCTACTGTATTACCACTCTGGTCCCTGTCAAATTACATTGATGTGAAAAATGCATTATTATTATTTTTCAATTGCAGCACCATGCTTTACAAAGTTATTCATGACTGCGTTTCAGGCATACGTTGTTCCAGCACCCGTTCCATTACTAGTGTCTGCTTTCCTCCTTCGAGTCCAGTTTCCCTCCCATCTCCCAAGCTTGCTTTTTTTTTTTTTAAATTTTTATTAGTGAGACATCATGAGGTACAGTTGTAGACTTACAAATTTTTGTGCTTGGGTTTTAGTTTTACAATGATCAAATACCCATCCCTCCACCAGTGCCCATTTCCCACCACCACAGATCCCAGTATCTCTCCCACCCCCTCACCCCCCCATCCCACCCTGCCTCTGTGGCAGGGCATACCCTTTTGTTCTCTCTCTCTTATTGGGTGGTGTGGTTTGCAAAAGAGGCAATGGGTGGCAATCATGTTTGGTCTATAGTCTACTTTCAGCACGCTTCTCCCATCCTGGGAGGGTCCTCCCAACACCCTTTATTTGGTGCTCCCTTCTCTATCTGAGCTCCCTTTTCCCCTAGCATGTGTGGTTTTTACCAACCTTCCCCGCTATCCCACCCCCCTTCTCCATCTTTTAGGCACTGTGGCTTCACACGCAACGTTTGCTACCTTCCAGCATTGCCTCCTGCTCTGGAGTCACCACTTCCCTCCACCATAATGCAAAGAGAATTTGAATGTCTATCTCCCTTGTGAAATAGTGGCAAGAACTTTCCTCCTGAACATCTGCCACTTTGCAAAAGAATCAAAAGACGATGCTGAGGACTAAGTTACAGAATAAATCAATTTGGTGACGATTTTGCCAAGCCAGGGTTCATTTACAATGAAATAATGAAGTCATCCTTTTCAGAGATTCTGAAACCAGAGTTGCAATATTTTCTAGGGTTACTCCCGGCAGAGATCAGTGGATGGGCTGAATCACACTTCAGTGTACATAGGAATTAGCTGAGTGCGTTGTCTGGCTGAGATGGCGGGTGTGGAGTGGGCCCCCAGAGTCTCCTTCAGGGTTCTGCCAGGCCGTGCCAATGCTGCCAGTATTCAGGCTACCTTGGGAGGTCAAGAAATCACATTTTTTCCCAAAGAGCTTTTCAGCAATAATTACGGTTTGCAAGCGGAAAATCGGTTCTACTCTTTATCACTCTTGAGTCCTGTAGGATTCTCTTGCTCTTGGGAAGTTGTAAATCTTTCCAGGGTTCATGTTAGAAGAGTTCCAGGCAAAGATTGTAGTTATAAACGAAATGGGTCTGGAAAAACAGACCGCCCATTATTGTGTCCCGCCTCTCCCTGAAGTTGGACTCTCTCTCTCTCTCTCTCTCTCTCTCTTTCTCTCTCTCTCTCTCACTGGGGCAGTCTTTGTTGCCTTAGCATCTTAGCATTATTCCCTTGGAGTGTTGATGCAACAAGATAGTAACTTTTCACCAGTTTTCAGAGAAACCTTCAGAAGCATTCAGTACAGTGATCACTTCATTAGGAAGAAGCTATTCATAGAATTTGACATTTTTTGCATAAAAAACTTTCAGTCACTGGGGACGGAGCAGTAGTACAGTGGGTAGGATGTTTGCCTTGCCTGCACCAACCTGGGTTTGATCCTCAGGATCCCATCTGATCCTCCAAGCCTGCCAAGGAATGATTTCTGAGTGCAGAGCCAGGAGTAACCACTGGGTGTGATCCCTGCCCCCACCAAAGAAAACAAAAATTCAGTCACCAGTTTAGGGTGTTTGAGCACTGTCTTGTTTTATTTTGGAAAAAGCTTAGATCTAGCCTTTTCTACCGTAAGGGTAGAAAATGCCTTAAACAGGGGGCTGGAGCGATAAGTACAACGGGCAGGGTGTTTATCTTGCACACGGCCAACCTGGATTTGATTCCCAGAATCCCATATGGTCCCCCGAGCACTGCCAGGAGTAATTCCTGAGTGCAAAGCCAGGAGCAACCACTGTGCATCACTGGGTGTGATTCAAAAAAGCAAAATAAATAAATTTTAAAAATTTAAAAAAAAAGAAAAGAAAATGCCTTAAACAACCACAGAAGATAAAGATTACAGTATTCCACTTATGTGAAGTCTCTCACACAGACAACTTCCTAGAAACGAAGCATGGAAGTAGAGACAGTCATGGGGTTATAGCAGTTGAGATAGGAAGTTACAACCTAACAGGTATAAAGTGTCTGGTGTGATGGTGAATGAGTACTAGAAGTTGGGTGGCTGGGCCACCCTGTGAATGCATTCATGCTGCTGAGGTGTACCTGTTTAGGTTTCTGTTTTTATGTTAGCATATTTTATACTGAAAAGAAATTTTAGGAAGAAAAAGGAGGCCGGGAAGATGACTGAATGGGCTGAAGAGTGCACACGGCATGCGGGAGTCCTAGGCTCAATCCCAGCACTGCGTGACCCCTGAGTACCACTGGGAGCAGCCTCCCCCTACCACCCCCCCCCACCACCAGTAGCACCCCACCAGCTGTAGCCCAAACACAAACAACACAGCAGAGAGAAAAAGAGGCCCGGGAAGTTGATCCCTGTGTTGCATGTATACGCTCCTGGCTTTCCCCAGCACCCAAATGAGGTGCAGCTAAGAGAAAGGGCTGGAGAAAGTACTTCACAGGAGTCCTCAAACTCAACCACGCATTCGGGGACCTTAAAATCCTGTGCCCAGGTCCACTTTAGAGCTCTGAAATCAGGGTCATTGGAGCTGAGAGCCAGCCGCTGGCAGAAGAAAGGGGTTGAGAACCACCATTGAGCATAACAAGTCCAGCTCCTGGCAGTGGGGCCAGAGGGTGAAGTCCGCATGGAATTCCCTCCCAGGGCATGAGGAAGGGGTATGTGGTGCTTGTCCCCGTAACTGGGAATATTTGGCAGGATGGGATGAAGAGAATATAATGTCAGCAGCCACATTGCATTTGTTCGTAATGGAAAGAACGCATTTTGATGTCTTTGTGTGTTGTGTGTTGAGGCCATAGTGGATTTAAATGACTCT